TCGTGCAAAATTCATTAAAAAAAACTTCCAACATTCTTAGTTTATGATATGGGTTAGTGTAGTAGTTAGTACTAGTTTATGAGAAAAAGGATGAAAAATAGGGTGACATGGATGTGTTGGGCCATTTATTTGGGCGTGGGCCTCGTAGTTCATTGGAGTCGAATATTACAAGGAAGAAGTTGGAGACTCTAGGAGATGTGTATGAAAACATGGGTTCACACGTATATTTCAATTCTTAGTTTCTTTATTATACTTTTTTTTTGGAATATCTTTATTATACTTATAAATTGAAAATTTTCATTCCTTAAAGTTAGTAAACTAAAACATATGTGTATCAAGGTAATATTAATTATTCTGAAACAATTTACACAATCCGATTAATTTACTACAATCCAAGTCTATCAGATTTCTAGTTAATTCATTATTATATTTATTATAAATGTGATATATAATTATAAGGATGTTTTCTTTTGGACTGAAATTTGCTGGTCTGGTCTGGTCTGGTCTGTTTAAGTCTGGTCTGGACTGGTCTGTTTAAGTCTGATCTGGTCTGGTCTGGTCTGAACTGGTCTGGTCTGGTAAACGTCTGGTCTTCAATTTTTTGAAACTTAGAAAGTTCTTCCATTAAACCTTGATCAATAAACCTAGAAAATCCTTCAAATTGTATCTGATTCAATCCAGGGATTCTCTAGGTTGGGGGGTAGGGCCCGGCGGGGAAGTTCTAGACACCTTTCCTTACTCTTTCTGGGGATCCGATTCAATTTGATATTCCATTTGATGAAGACTCTTCTAAACAAATGATTTCTGAGAGAATTCTTTTAATTCTGTAAGGCAATCCGATCCAGTCATGCCTAATTTGATTCTCAAGACTTTTGGAACCCCGTTTTCACGGTTTAGGCTGCTCCCATTTCGCTCGCCGCTACTATGGGAATCGCTTTTGCTTTATTTTCCTCTGGCTACTAAGATGTTGAATTATCGTGTATATTCAAGTTCGGCCTGCTTAGCTCAGGGGTTAGAGCATCGCATTTGTAATGCGATGGTCATCGGTTCGATTCCGATAGCTGGCTTTTCCATATGGAAAATCGGAATTTTCGACCAGGCTTCTGATAAACTTTGATTTTCTGCTAGTCCTATACTAACTCTTCTATATATCTCTTGTTGGAAATACCCTTGATCCCATTGATAACGGGTGGGGCCAAATAATTCAAGTTGAAGATCAATTTTACGATAAAATGGATTATGGGAGTGTGCGACCTGAACTATTGATTGGTCTATGTAGATATAAGCCTACCACATTTTGAGGATGCAGTCCTCATTAGCGAACACTTGGGTTTGGAAGCCCACGGCCAAACGAGTACTTTACAGAGAGCCAGCAAGGAATTCCATTAATAACTGGCCGTTTTGATCCTTTGGAACAACTCTATTAATTTTATAACTACGGAAGTCTGGTCTGGTCTGGTCTGTTTAAGTCTGATCTGGTCTGGTCTGTTTAAGTCTGGTCTGGGACTGAAAACAGTCCAAAAGAAAACATCCTAAATCTGATCATATTGTTGAACGTAATTACTCATGATTAATACTCTGTATGATTAAGTTTTCCTTAATAATTGTATCAATTATTTTATACGATAAGAATTAACAAAACTAACTGAATATTTGACTGTTTTTTCATAAAAGTTGAATCAACAACAATTTCGAATCAGACAAGCAAAAGCTGCCAAAATAATTCAACAAACTCCACGTGGAAACCAATTTAAATGACACATGCTCTGTACCCCACTCTAAGCCAGCACAATGTCCTACATATATTTGAAATAAATCTTTTTGCGTTTCCATGTGATTGTGAAATTTGTTTTGTTAAAGAATTTTTATAAACACCTTTCAAAAAAAAAGAATTTTTATAAATAAGATATATACTAAACAGAGAATGGCCGGGTTGATTATATATAAATAACAGAAATCTAGAAAATTAGAAAATGAAGTATTTGGAAAAATAATACTCCGTAATCAAGAAGTAAAATACGAAATACGTAGTACTATATATGGAGACACCGAGTACAAGTGAAATCAGTTTGCTATGTTAAGTAGTAGCTCTAAATAAAAATACTACGTATACAGTTTCCAGAAACTATGGCAAACATTCCTTTGGTCTACATAACTTATTCCATGGCATATTTTTAGAAGGATTTATTGAAATAAAAGAGGGGTACAAAGAGAGATTAAAAACAGTATAGAAAAGGGAAAATACATAGGGGCAAAATTAAAAGCTAAGGTAAATTTTTTTTTTTAAAAAGCTAGGTCCAGAGAAATTGCTTGATTTGAGACCTTACTTGTTCTCATGCTGTGACACATTTTCTTTTCTTGGCTTTCTTTAAATTTTAACCGGGATGTTTAAATTGTCTGTTGGAAGGCAGTTTTCCTAAGTATTGAGCTGAGATTTACGGCAAATTGCACTATTGAATGTGGAATCCCTTATTTCTTCATGTTATGAAATAAGTGGTCTACTGTCGCATTCTGTTGCGTGTCCCAAAAAATCGTCTGAAAATATGAGTCATCTGATGAGTCAAATTTGTATGAGGCATCTGAGTTAGCATGTAAAAGTGGCATATAAGTGTTGCCATTTATCTAAAAATGACACTCCTATTATTTGTGTGAATTTATAAATTAGACTACCTCCGTCCCAAAAAGAGTTGCAAATTTGACTTTTCTTAGTCAAGCAGTTTCGTTTTGTTCACTTAATTAGGATGTCAATTTTTAATTATTTTCTAATTTGGAGTTTACAACTTTGAAGAGATTTTAATGTAGTTTTTGAATATGTAAATTTTAATTGTTAAAAATTGAATTAATTATCCATAGGGAGGGTTGACTTTTATTATTGGTTGACAAAAAAATGTTGACTTTGCAAAACAAATTGGGACGGAGGAAGTACAATTATACTAAAGTAATTTTAAATAACTCTATGGGGGTGTTTGAAAAATAGCATTTCAGCCAAAAAATGATGATTTTATCACTTTAAGTGTTTTTAATAAATGAAAACGTTGTTCAGTAAATAGCTGTTTGCCCCTAGCATTTTTGGATGGAACCGCTGAAATGGAAACGTTGCAAATATGAGAGTTTTGGGTTAGCGTTTTGAAATATGGCATTTAAAACTGTTTTTTATGCCAAACAGCAAAATTACCAAACATCTTCTGACAACAAGTCAACTTATCCGTCTAGTCAAACCTGTTGATTGAATCACTAATGAAGGACTTTTGTTTGATTCTCTACTCCGATCATAAAATTTAAGTCCTATGTTCACAATTTAGAAATACTATCCTCCGTTTTTTAATCGCGACATATTGAATTTTACACTATTCACATGTTCTACTTTGACTACATTTTACGCTATTATTTTATGAGAACTTATTGTTTTAAAAAATATTGTTCAATTCATCTCATTACAAATTTCCAAAATCTGGTTTTTAATTTTTTTTACTAATAGAGATTAAAAGATAATTGCGGTCAAAGACGTGCGTTGTCAAGTGTGAAATGTTGACCGTTACAACTGAACGGAAGAAGTATGTTGCATGTTTGATTTCCTACGAAAGAGGTTCTCCAAATGTAGTAGTACACCTTTTGCGCCTTCGTATTTCCAATTTTAAGTCTCAAGTAGTAGTTACACGTACTACTTTTTCCATAAGATCAAAATTACTACAAATAGGAGTACGTATGACATAAAAAATTCAAGAATATGGTTAACTATGTGTTTATTCTTAAAATATCATTTACCTGGTCTCAATTAAAGAACAAAAACAACTGAAGTACCTCCTTTAAAAGTAAATAAGTCATACCTAAGGAAACAAATGATGTATGACTGTATGTGTGATAAGTCATACTATTTCATGTTTTATTTATTCCCTTTTTCTCTGTTTACATCCCATTAATTAGGTACATATAGCTAGCTAGCTGCTAGCATCTTCAATTTTCATTTACCAAATACTCAAATACTTCGTATAATTCTTTTTATTTTTATAAACTTCGTACTACGTGTATTAATTTCTTTTATTAGGTACTGTATTTATGGGTGTGCCGAAGTGCATCGATTCAAAATGGGAACGGACCGAATTGGAACGGAGCCGGTATTATAAAAAAAATCAAAACCAAAAGGAGGATCAGATATATTACGGTTTTATCCAGAAACAAAATGGTTTAACCGGTTCAAAATAATAATCGAACCGGAAAAACTGGTTTCTAAAATATATTTTTTGAAGGAAAAAAAAACAATTAATTTTTATTGGTTAATAATATGGGGTATTTAATATTAATAATGTTAATATCTCTACGATATATCTATCTACTTACTTGTTTTTATTAGTTCTAAAGAACAAAGATTTGGGTGATTTGAGTGTAGAATAACAATTTTTAATTATTTCTATTAAAAAGACAATTAGAAAAAATAGTTGAATATAACATTAAAATAAAATTTATTATAATCATTTATATACAAATTTTTATTATTTCTACTATTTTTATTACTTTATAGCTGTTTTATACGTAGTATTAAATTATTAATTAATATATTTTAAAATATAATAAAACTGGTCTAATCCGGTTCAAACCAGAATAATCTGATTTTTAACCGGCACCGGACCGGAAATCAAAATATGCAATTTTTCATAACCGAAAATCGGACCAGATGGCATTCATGTTTGATCCAATTCAGGTGTTTCCAGTCCGGCCTGATCTGATTTATTGGTTTGAATTGGTTTGTGCGCACCCCTAGCTCTATTTGTGTTTGGTTAACAAGAACTTAATTTTAGATACTACGTATTAAATTTTATTTTTCTCTAATAAATTTTTTTGTAAAAAGTGTCAGGACCAAACCTAAATGGATGCAGTAGTGCCTGGACAAGTGGCCTGGGGCCCTCTGGATTGGGTTGGGGTGCAATCATTTGTAATAAAACCCGCTGCTTTCATTGTGTATACGTACATATATTAGCGTGTATATATATATATATATATGTGTGTGTCTGTATTATATGTACATGTATATGCATATGTGGATGATCTCTATCTATAAAAGAAATATATTGAAAGCTAGCTTGTTTAAACTACGTACGTACCAACTTTCTATTTGGTTTTCCTTCATCAAATTACTTTAATAGGATATATATACATACATGATACATATACTCCGTTTTATATACTTTCTTTACAGACATATATATGTGTATATATAGCTCTTATTTATATTAAACCGCATATCATATCGATCCATTTAGAATCTGGAAGCCAATTAATTTTCAAAAGAAGAAAAACCAGTCTCTAGCTAAGACGCACGTACGTAAATAGAATACCCATATTCATACAGAAGCTAGCTTAGCTTAGTTAGCAAAGAGTGGGAATTGAAGGAGAAAAGATCGGGTCGGGTTAATGGGTTTAAGAGATATCGGAGCGGCTTTGCCTCCGGGCTTTAGATTCTTTCCCAGCGACGAAGAATTGGTGTGCCATTATCTTTACAAGAAGATTGCGAATGAAGATGTTCTTAAGGGCACTTTGGTAGAAATTGACCTCCACACTTGTGAGCCATGGCAGCTTCCTGGTATGTCTTCTTTAATTTATTCCCTTTTCTCTCTATTATTACAAAAAAAGTATATATTTTTTATAATTCATGTATGTATAATAGAGACATCTTTTCATTGGGAATTATAATAAGGGAAAATTCCCGATGGAATTCGGGTAATTATTACTACGTTTGAAAGATATTGGCATGCTTAAAGTCTGATATTGTAAAAACATGACAGTAATAACTCCTATTTAGGGAATAAAAACATGACAATCATATTTTTAAATTCGGGGTAATCATATTTTACTTCTATTTAGAACAATTTCTGTAAAATAATTTGTTAATTTTTTCTAATTTTGGATGAAATTTGATAAATTACATCTCATGTGGAAGTTTTGAGAAAAGATTTGTATTACCTAAACTAATGAACAAGAATAAGAATTATAATAATCACAGAAGATAAAGAACAAGATACTTCGTATATGATTACTTGTGTTGAATTTGTGACTTTTTTTCTCCGGGAATTGAGAGAGAAAAGAATGGCAGCTTTCCAGCTTGCTGAGTTTCTATCCCTTATTATTCGTATTTGATAAGATTTAACTGATTTAATCTTATCCATTTTTTTAAGAATTGATTAGTTTTCGTCCGCGTATTTGTAGCCAGGAAATACGTATAAATACGTAAATAAAAGCAAACCGGACCAATTACCAATATAATGAAGTTTTATTTATTTTTGATATATATGGGATTTTAATTTAACTCTCTTTGCCCTGAAAACTCGATTGGCTTTGTTTACACGTACAAACCATTTACGGTTATAACTTTATATACTCCGTATGTGGTTATTATTTCTTAAGAATTAAGTTTATAGTTCTTGTTATTTTTGTTTAATTTTATTTAAACGGAGCGAATTGGGTCACAAATCCACATTGAAAAGTACATTATTAGATTTTTGGTTAAATATTAAGTCGCATCTTCTTATATATGAGAGTCATATTTTCTTTTTACAAAAGTGATGTGGCATTTTAACTGCAAGTTTAACCGTGGGCGGCTCTCTGACGCCCAATATCTTAAGAAAAAAATTCAATGGCCCATAATTACATTATCATCGTCTCAAGGGAGTTAAGGCATATAATTACATTATCATCGTCTCACATATGATGATATGATTGAAAAGAATTAAGAAAAATGGGTTTTATCATATTTCTTATACATCTTAATTAATGGAATGGTGAGAAAGTACCAAAATCTATTTTTGAGTAGTTTAATTGAATATTTTAACCTTAAAAGAATATTCAATTCATCCCAAAACAAAATTTTAACATTAAAAACAAGAGAATTATTTCAATAATCAACGCTAATTTGTTTAACATAATTTAGTTGATACAATTTTGTTATGAAAAGGAAAAAGGAATTGAAGTAGTTTAATTTTCTTTTTAACCTCAAAATTGTAATCAGTCCATCCCAAAAAACTATTCACGTTAAAAAGTCTTGTAAGAAAAGGAGAGTAATATATTAGCTTATTTCTTTTAATATACTCAAGTTGATGTAGTTTATTTATAATTCGTGAATGAATTAGTAGATTGCAAGAAGTTGGTAAATTATGAGAATTGCACCTTCACTAGCTTATTTAAAATTAAAACTCTACGTTCATACTTTTTGCACCCTACAATAAGTAACAGTTTAGAGAAATACATATTCATCTGATATGTTTAATTTTCGTAAATGATTTTTATGTTTACCAACATAATATCTTAGGAAATTAAATATTTACATGTTTTTAAGGAAATAGTTACATATGAATTGGTAAAGATCAAGAAAATATGTATTCTGAAAATATAATTAGGTAAACATTTAGTAATAACACATAATTTTCTTTTTTATAAATTTAAAAGTTGATTAAAGTAGAGTATGTTTATACTATTAATTAATATTATAATATGAGACTGTGGTAACTCATACAAAGAGAGCAAGTCCATCCTAAGGAATCGTGTAAGATGAATGTTCTAATCTACCCATAATCATGCTTAGCATTAGTTGTTTTTGTTTGTTTTTAAAATACAGACATACTTATTTAATTTAGAAACAATTAATAAGAGAAAATTGATAATATTGGCTAAAATGAACTAAAGTCCTTGAATGATACGGAGTGATACTTTAGGGCAACTTAGCTAAACAACCTTTAACATAGAATTTGATAATATGGACAATATGAAACGCGTCGAGCCTTACAAGACCAACAATTAGGCTATACAAATCAACTAGGTTTACTATTTCTGATTGGGATTATACTTGTTCTTCTACACAATTATTATGAAATCTGTCAATCATATGCCATAATGAAAATTGTAATTTACAGTTAAGGTATAAGGAAATTTGATCGAGAACTTATCTTTCAGTCATTAAGACCCTTACATCCTTGTCATGGCAACAAAGAGAAAGGGAAAGTAATCTTATGCAAGCTAGAAAATCTCTTGACGATCCAATGAACTGAAATGTAATAGGGGCTATAAAAGTTTAAAGTTATACTACGTACTGTTCTTACATTCGATATTTTTAAGGTAGTACTCCATTTTGTTCTTTTTAATGGCTCCACGTTCCTTTTAAGTGTGTATATTTATAGCGTTTTTTTTCCCTTTTTATCAACGATCACCGCTTTTCAGTTATCAACATCTTTCTTTTTGTTTCCCTTTTAATTTCCCCTCTAATCTAAAAAGCATCCAACACTAGTACTATATGCGTACTACTCTTAGCTATAAAATGATAGAATCAAATTTCATGAAAAATTGTAAATTATACACCTATTCCAGTTATCCGTGCTTCTCTTTGGTAAAAACATATACGGAGTATTCTATTTGATCGAGTTTATCTTCTCTATATTCACTTTCAAATCAAGTTCTATAACTAATGAACTTAGTCCATATTAATTACTTTTATACTAGAACTAGAATATGGTATATTGGTATACATGACTGAGAATGGTCAAATCAAGTTTTGGGCACCTCAGACTATTATTCAAAACGTACCCTTTGGCTCTAACACACATTTATTGATTGATTGTGACAAATTTTAAAGGAAAATCATTAATGTGGACAAATGGTATTTATTGAAAAATTACAAAATATGATCTTCTATGAAATAAAGAATGAAAACATACATAAAATGTGGGTTTAATTTAACTATTTCATACTCTCTGTACCATTGAATTTTGCCAATTTTTCTTTTTCGGTCGTTCTAAAAAATTTCCCACTTTTTAAAAGTAACTATTTTGTTGTTCAACTCATTTCTCTCTATTATGTACAAACTTTAACGACACAACTTTCATTTTTCTTTATTCTCACCTAATTCTAAGCTAGCGAAGTTCATTAGGACGGAAGTTATACTCCGTCCATAACAAAAAAATCTTTTCACTTTCCTTTTTCGTCGGTAACAAAAAAATCTCCTCATTTCTAAATCTCCCCATCATACCCTCAATAATTCTAAAAATAATACACTATTACAACTATTTCTTTTGGATTTATCCTAGATTCCATCACATTATTCCATTATCTTCCCATCATAACTTCAATAATTCATATCCTCTTTCACTATTCTTAATCTACCTACTTTTGACATGTGAATGTTTTTAAGATAGGGAGGAAGGAAGTAATAAACTACTACATATGTACATATTGTGTTTTCCATTATTGAAAGAGCATATATGACACATGAATGAAATGACATGAAGTAAAAAGAATCGTTTGGTGTGTCCTCATGCCGACTTTGGACCAGTGGTGATGTACTCCAGTACTATTGTAATTTTTGGAAGGCTGGATTGACAGATCGACCGTCTTTGCCTACTACCTTGATCCAACTATTCCTCCTCACATGCTCTTTGTTAGTACGTACTTTATTTTGTGGCAAATCAGACCAACATTCTCTTCTAAATATCTATATTATTCTTATATATATATATATTTTTATATATTACTCTTAATTAATAAGATTTTGTCTTGGGGAATATAATTAATATCCGCCTTGTGAGTTTCAACTACAATTATGAAGTTTTTGGATCTGATTATTAAAATTGTTTCTGTTACTTCAGAGAGTAGAAACAGATATTAGAGTGTTTGATTGAAAGTGCAAAAGTACTTCTGAGTGTTTCAAATTGCTCGTAGAAATAGTTTTTTTAGAAGTTGATGGATACCAACTTCTGAAAAACCGATTCTGATTGTACCGTTATTTTTTACAAAGAAGCAGAAGCTGAACAATTCTAAACACCCCATTTACTTAAGAGACCCACTAGTATATATCTCAATATTATTATACCTTAAATTATACCTTAAAATATTTCATAAAAGGAGTTAGACATGCAATAATTACAGTCCTAAAGAGTACTAAGTGCAATTATGGAAGGGAATTAGGGAAAGAGACAGGAACAAAATAAATATCCAATCAAACTGGTCCTGGATTTGTCTCTTGAATCAGCCATCCTCCATCCACTTGGCCTGATCGTTCGCTGTTCGATCCATACTGTTCCATCGTTTATCTTAGGCAGATGACAGCATGTTTTTTTCTTTGTTGTATTCCAACATTAGTTCGAATGTTGGTAAATAATTAATTAAATAATTATACATGTGCAGCGGATACTTCAATTTATACTTATATATTATACATAAGTATTTCTTTGTTGTATTCCAACATTAGTTCAAAGGAGTATTATACATAAGAATTATATTAATTAAGTTTAGAATACATAAGTGGAGTAGATACTCTATATTATACGTAAGGTTTTAGTCCCACAAGTCTCGGTGTTTCTTTGAATAGCATCTTTTGAAAAGTACATCGTACGAGCTAAGCCGCTGAGGGTTATCCCATAGCGTTTTTACTATTTTAATATCCAAATTTTATACGAAGTTCATATCACTGTTCTTTTACATGAGGGTATAGATGAATAAATAATTATGTGTGCAACATAATTTATGCCACATTATAAGCTAGACAGAGATAATCAACATTTAATCATTAATTAGTTAAAGGTTTTGTCGCTTTACTTGGTTAAAATATTGTCTAGGTTTACTCTATGGAAATGGAATACTAGTTAATTATTACTACTAGCTACTTCCGTCCCTTTCCATGATCTTTATTAAATAATAAAATTTGTATTACAAATAGCATTGAAATAATTGCATAAATATGACCAAAATAAAGATGATTTACAAAAATATGATTAGTTACTAGAGTAGTAATGAAATCATAGTAATTCATGTTCAAGTTTTGAAATTTAGTTACCACAACACTACGTTGTAGTAATGAATAGTCATATTTATGTAAATAAGTTTTATTTTAGTAATATTCTGTAAAAACCCAATAAAAAAACCCAATAGCATTGTAGTTTATGAATAAAATTAAATATTTAATAGCTTAGGTTGAAAATGTTTATTGCAGAGGTAGTAGTATTTATTGCTCTATATCCTTTATTGTGTCAAGCAAATTTATTTTCTTGAGAGTTTAAACCTATTTTAAGTGTATAATTAATTTCACATTAATCATCAAAAAAAAAATTAATTTCACATTATTTGAACCCTAATTATTTTTCAAGATATAACGCAAGTTTAATTTCTAGTAGAGTTATGGAATTTACATTAAATTTTTCTTAAAATGAGCTGGATTGACATGCAATTTTTCTAATTAAATTACTACGTATATGGATAAAATTGGAGATAACGAACCTAAGTTTTACCTACCTCGTTTCGTACGGCGGATGAATTAACTTTTTCAAGGAAAGAAAGAAAAAAAAATACTACTCCGTAGTACTTTGGTAAAGAAAAAACTTTGGTAAAGGGAAAACAGGTGTAGAGAATCTATTCTGACGATCAGCCAACCTCGTGCGTCACTTTTGCTAAGATTGTCCTACAAGCCATTCTCTTTGATGACGACCATTTTTCTCTCAAATAATTACAGCATATATTATTCTTATTATCAATATCATCACCATCATTAGTATTATCAATTTTCTTCTTTCCCATTATTCAAAATTGTATCTATGTGTCCTGCCTGAATTGCCTATCTCTAGCTATTATTTGGTCTTGCTTTTATTTTATTTGTCTTCTTCCTCCTTAATCTTTGCTAAATCTTGAAAAGATCGATTTGGAGATAACAATCCAATCTAATTATGCCTATATTATTATACTACGTTATCATCATATTCATCATCATTTCTCGAGTGCCGCAAAGACTCCCATATACAGGAATGATCAGATTATGCAGTTGTACCCCTGTATTATAGCACATACAAATTGTTTACGAATAACTCGTAGTGAATATCGCGTCGAAAATTGAATAGACTAACTGCTTGTTCATAACAAAGAAGTGTAAACAATTTAGTGAATCATTTTGTTTGTTTCATCATATTTTCAACACAAAAAATAGTGGGTTTTTTACTCCATTTTAAACGATGGAAACTATTACTCCGTACGTATTATACTACGTTATCATAAAATAAAATGACTAACGATAATTAACGTCATTTTTTTTTTGTTTTTTTAATGGGACAAGAGGTGGCAAAGCTGAACTCCAGCGAGTGGTATTTCTTCAGCTTTAGAGACCGAAAATACGCAACCGGATTCCGTACAAACCGGGCAACCATTTCCGGGTATTGGAAAGCCACGGGGAAAGATCGGACGGTCATGGATCCTAAGACTCACGCGATCGTAGGGATGAGAAAGACGTTGGTATTCTACAAAAATAGAGCGCCTAACGGCGTCAAAACTGGCTGGATCATGCATGAATTCCGCCTTGAAAACCCTCATATTCCTCCAAAGGTACGTATATATATTTCATCACTTATAATAATTATTACTTGTATTATTTAATTTGTTCATTACATTATATTTATATATTATTACAAGTTAACGTTCGGATGTATTAACACGTGTCCGATGATGTTGGTTGTTTAGTACTACGTATTATCCAAACCTAGACAGGTTCCTTTTATTTTTAAAGATGGGTAGGAGAGAATGAAAAGGCTCTTTGTGTGTCGTGACGTGAAGATGGAGAGAATGAAATTTCATATAGTTCCCTAGCTCAAAATTTTGTCATTTTTCAACAAAAATGATTTGGATAAACATAATAACATGTAGTTGTGGAACTTAAAAGTTTTGACAGATAAAAATCACATTTTCACGAAATAACAATATGGACGGAGTATGCATTAAGAAACTAGTTACAAAATTGGGAAAGTTCCTGAAATGGGACCAAAAACGTTTGTAAATTCCAAAATAGGACTGTCATGTTTTTATTCCCAAAATAGGAGTAATTACTGTCAAGTTTGAAAAATACTGTCATGTTTAAAGTCCGGTACTGCCAATACATGACATAATTAGTCCCATTTTGGGAATTAAAAACATGACAGTCTCATTTTGGAATTTACAAACGTTTTTAGTCCTATTTAGGGTAAATTCTCTACAAAATTCTACTAAATCGAAAAAGGGAAATTTTAACATATGAAATACAGAGTACTCCATCCATCCCAATAAATTCTTCAAACTTTGAGTTGGTTCGCATATTTAGAAAGTGGAATAAAGTGAAAATGTATGATTGTAGTTGTGTAAGAAAAAAGTCAAATGAATATGAGCCACACAAATTATCCAAAAAGGGGAAGTTGGAAGAATTTTTTGGGACGGTCCAGAATGGAAAGTTGGAAGAATTTTAAGAGACAGATGGAGTATAAAATTAGAGTTAGATGTGAATTGCATTGTGAATTTTGAATTAGTATATCAGTTTGGGACGGAGGTATTACGGACTAGTCTTCAATTCTTTATATACAAAATTAATCATTACTTGTAAAGTAGCCGACTATTTCAATATATGCAAGAAATACATGTATTTTAATTCGCTTCAAACTTGTATTAATTCGTAATTTCTAAAATTCAGGTTATTTCTACATATCACTCAGTTATAAATTTGTTTATTTTGACATAAAAATAAAACATAATCCGGTTCGAATTTGAGTAGCGAAATTTGTGATTCACATTTATACGGTCAACTCATACTAGCAAGTGAAATACAAAAAATACGATGTTGATATAATTGTCCAATCATGTTATCATTTTTATGAAATCTCAAATTTTATTAATTCTTATCGTTTCTCCTTTTAGAAATAAAAACCACGTACCGCGTATTGTTTATTCTTAATTTTCGTGTAGAAGTATTATGACGAAGGAATACATATAATTGCATAGTGACTGAATGTGACAAAAGTCTTTGTATGTGGAAAGCTTCATAGAAAGCTAAATATTCAATTAAGACAGATAACCAATGACTAAATGGAGAAAACGTTTTTCACAGATGTTGAAATAAAAACAAGGTTATTATACATTGCGGCTAGCTAAGCTAACCTAATTTTTCTAAAAGCCCATACTATGCATTATCATTAGTTAACTTCTTTGGGGAAAATGCTCAACATAGTTCGTCACTACTATAATTCGAATGTTGTTAGATCGATCCAACGTATAAGAGTTGACATAAATGGCTACATAACAAAATAATTAGGTCCGTTTGAAACATGGAAAATGGTGAGCTGGAAGAATAGAACTAACATGTGGAATTTGGGTAATTTGGAAGGAGAAAATATACTGCGTATTACTTTTCATCCTCAACTCACTTTTGACTTTTTAGTCTTTGATAATCATTGGGGACATTATTAGAATTTACCTCCACTTCATCAAATATCAGTTCATTATTAATGGAATAATGTAGTTGTTCTTACTCGATGATTTTATGCATGGCGTTTTATATACTACCTCCGTCCCAAAATAATTTCATGTTCGGTTTACGATGCTTGACTGACAATAAACCAACTCGATCCCTGTTCACACTCGGATTATTTTTAGTAAATAAAATTTACATATTCAGAAACTACATTAAAATCACTACAAAGCCTGATCAAGAAAATTTAAATTTGATAAAAATTTGATATATAAAGTAAAAGATTAGGAGTGATTCAAGTTGACCAATGAATAGTGATTGTGAAGTTGTTTTTGGGACGGAGGGAGTATTAGAATTTGATACTTGTGATTTAGTTGAATTTTCAGTATAGTATATATACTTATTCTTTTTTAATTCCAACATTAGTCAATTTGACACTATTCATATACTCTATTCTGATCACGTTTTATTTAATTATTAACGTATTGTAAATTAAATTTTTGATTTTTTTTGTCAAATTCTTCTTGATTTAAATTTTCAAAATCTGATTCTTTTAACTTTTTTTACTATTAAAGAATGAAATGTATGAATAGTTAAACTTGTGCTTTTGAGAATATGAAAATTGGAATGTTGCAACCAAAAAAGTAAGCTAGAAGTATTTGATTATTAATACGGATAATAATTTAAGCATTTTAATAACAATAATTTGATTTAATCATCGGCAAGAATTGTAATACGAAATTAGAACTCTGTATACAGGGAAGATGGAGTAAAATACTAAAATACATTCTTCATAGTATACGTTCTTTTGTGTATCTACGTGCATTACTAAATCTTAAAGCTTAAGAAATGTAACGTATGTAACTTATTTTAAAAATATACTTCGTATATCAATATTCCGTATCTATTTTCCTTACGTGCTACAACAAAAGACGATGTTTTTTCTTATAGTTGTTCCTTTCATTCAGCACCTTCACCGCCATCCGCGTATACCCATTAAGGGGTCATTACGTGTGATAGTTTGCAAATTAAAATTCTATGCATAAAACTATTGAATGGATAGTTTAGTGAAACATTCCCTTTGCATTTAAAATAAATGATATTATTGGTTTGGTGTAAAGTTTATTTTTAAATTATACACAAAGTGTACTATTGTTGGTCTTATGGGATCATCACCACCTTTGATTCAAAGCTTAACCGCACAATCTGTTCAGTCCCTCATGTTCACCCTCCAATCAGTAGTGTAGCTCTGCACTGCCGTAATAAATTGTGAGAGTGTCCCACAGGAATCTACCTTGACTTAGAGACTACAGAGTACAGAGTAATGTGTTAAAAAGAGAGTGTTTAGCTCTTGAATAATTGATTCTGAAAAGGATATGACTACTATATAACCACAAAATTGTGCAATTAAATGAGCACCGAGTAACAAAGATAAGGATATCTGGATATGTGACCCACTAAGAAGTTTGTAGAAAGAGGTGAATCGATCCTACAATAACTACTCCGTATATAAAAAGTAAACATGTAAAATAGTTATTACCTCCCCCGTATAAACATTTATTTATCAAATCAAACTATGTATATTAACTTGTTACATTCATATACATCGCATTATAACCTATCTTGTTGAAATCATAATACGGAGTACTAATTAGTACACCTCTATGTTGATGTCTGCAGGAAGACTGGGTTCTATGCAGAGTCTTCCACAAATCAAAGGCAGAAAGCAGCGAACATCATATGAGCAACATGTACGACAATAGCATCATGATACCACATGAAACATTCCCTAGTTACGCCGTCAATGGCTCTCCACTGCCTGCCGCCATCCAAAACGCTTCCTTTCCGCCGACTACGGTTGCCTACTGTCCGATCTCATCTACCGCCACGCGTCAAAATCAAAGCTCCACTATAGCTATGGCAACAACCAATGCGTTGTTCAACAACTCTTCATCATTATCCTTGTCAGCGCCAGAGCAGACATTTCTCCGGTCGTCGGGGCACGAAGTGGCACAACTATCTAAGTGTGACACTGATCAGTTTGCCTTCTTGTTCGACATGAACTTCGATCAACAAGGTTTCGAGGACGGAGGAGGTCATACCACGACTACCCGTCTTGACGAGATGGCATTCGAGGATGAAAATGGCATGGTTTTCATTTGATTATATGTTTATATGTATGTGCACTTGTGTCTCTTTGTCTGTGTTATTTGTTTACTTGTGCATATGTAAATTTAGATGGACATTAATTAGTTAAGGTGAAAACAAACAAATAGGAATGAATATGGTGGCTTCCAATTAATATAAAATTGTTGAATGGCTAAATGCTTGCATGTATAATGCATGTACCGGCTATGAGACAATCATTATGTTTGGTTGGATTTGTAATTTCCTATTTGTTAGGAGTAGTAACTAGGGTTACTCAAATGGTAGGGATCCATGGTCAGTAGTAGTCGTATGTGCATGTATATGATTTTATGATACGCGTAATTTTAATTGGCGATTTGTGAAATATACTTAATAGTATCCTTACTTTTTATTAATTAGATTCTAAAATTACATTTTTAGTACATTTTCTGATTTCTCTTTTTTAAAGGGGATTTGTTTATTGATTGTATAATATAACTCATACAAAATATTTTTAAAGGTGATTTGTTTATTGATTCTACAATATAAGTCATACAAAATATTTTTAAAGGTGATTTGTTTATTGATTCTATAATATAAGTCATATAATAGTGAAAGATTGATAATAATATTACATATAAAATTAAGAACATAGTTCTTCCCAAACATTAACTTCTTCTCATGGATGGCCTCCACAAGATCTCTTTGCTCTTATGCCATTACTACACCGAGTCATGACATTTTGATTCGTGGTGCACGTGTCTCTATGATGCTGCAACCCTTTTCCAAAAAATGAAAAGAGGAATCGGGTGACGAAGTCGGAAATGGAAAGGAGATGAAGGGATGAAGCGGTTCATTTCTGTTGCTGGATGAATCCGATGGAGAAGGGGATGAAGGTAATGGAGATGAAGGGGTAAATGAGGTATTGATGGGGGAAGAAATTGGAAGATGCTACCAATTTATGCAGATGGAAAAGTGTAAAGGCGGAAAAAATTGGAAAAATAGACAACGATCCCAATGATTGATGTGGGAATTAGGGGTGAAAGTGTATTCATTTGATGAATAGGATTTTGGAACGTACGGAGTATGATATCACTTTTATACCTCCATGGCCCACCCTCACCCAGGGGCGGCTTTGGGGTCAGTTGGGCCAGGCAGCTGCCTTGGGCCTCGCCTCCAAAGGGGGCCTCCAAAATAAAATTAATAGGAGGTATTAGGAATATGGACGCAAAATAGAGACCCTAACGGGAATCGAACTTCACACCTGCGATCAAGAATTTCAATCTCCGCTCCACTCAAGCTGATAGTACTACATGCTTATATATGTTGCTTTTTCGTATTTCTACATTTCAACTTAAGAAATATTTGTCAGAAATTACGTTTATTTAGATATGTTAGATACTGCGTTATTCATTACTAAAATTTTGTACTTGATCTCATATTTATAGAGAGTGTATTTTCCATTTAAGCCCTAATGTGTTTTATTTTTAGTTAAAACCAATATACTTTGGTATAATAGTATTTTTATTTTTCTTATATTGTATTATCTTTTATTTAATTATGAAGTAGTATAATTTTTCTATTTATGAATTTAATTATACATATGATAATTTTGTACTACATAGTAATTCATATTTTAAACTTTTAATGTAAATTCATGAATTTCTAGATGTTAAATACTCCGTGATGGTATCAGTGGTTTTGCACTACAAAGGATGTTAAAAACTTATATAGTTCTTTTGGATATAACAAACCTTATATAGTTCACTTTGGATATGTTTTTTATATGGCGTTTTCAATTTATCTGTGTCAATATGATTTGGTGTAGTAAATATTTTTTCGTCTAGGGCCTCGGAAATTCTCAAGCCGCCACTGCCCTCACCAAATGATTGTTGGAGTTAACCTTGTTGTTTTGAATTTCATCATGTTTATTTTAGTTTATTGTGAGTCATAGATGCATATTAGACTAGAGTGTGAGTGCATCGTGTGGCGTCATGCATGTGTTGTAGCGGCACTCATGTGCGTATGTGTCGTTGCATTAGTGTTAGTTTAATTTGCATGGGTTGGTCAATTAGTGAGTAATTAGTTTAACATGCATGTTTAACTATTCATTAGTGGGATTAGTGGAGATATTAGTGGATCAATTAGTTAGTGGCCTGTTACATTCAAGTTGTGGCGTGAGTGGGCTGCTAGGTCGTGTGATTCTGGCTATTTAAGCCATGTAAATCAGTTTGTTTTATGAGAAGAAAAACTAGATGAAAAGAAAAAAGTTGTGTCTTTATTCTTCTCCATATCACTACATTCGTTCTATGTTTATTAATTCTTCTTCCTCCGTGAGCAAAGCAAACCCAACAACGATGGTTACATCGCCCGCTGGTGACCATCGTTGGTTAGTGATCACCGACAAGTGATCTCACCTTTAGGCCTGTCAATGGGCCGGGTACGGGCCAGAATGTGGTGTTCCAGACTTGGACCTGCTAAGTTAAAAAAGGACCCGACCCGACTTGTATACCCGGCGGGTCTGAAAGTTTGGACCCGAACCCGGACTTAAAGACCAGGTCTCATAACAGAGTCGGGTAGACCCGCCAATTATGATATGCACAACATTATAATATAATATTTTGAAAATAACAATACATTGTATATGAAATGTAAAGCAAAGTGGGCAAACTTAAATGCAAAATATATCTTCATTTTTAAAAAAATATCATGGTTTCTCAAGGAAAATTATTACTTTTATCCAATAAATATCAGTTCTTGTAGAGGCACGCGTGTAACTCCATACTCTATGTCTCTTCCCCTTACACACAAAGCTCGTAGATTAGATTAGAAATTAGGTAAAAGAAGGTCTCTTGGACTAATCAGAATATAAAAGCATATTATATATGATAATGATACAATAATATTAATAATAAAAAATATTGGGCTTTGCATACCAAACCCAACACACACTTTATCAGTATTAATAAATAGCCAAAATGAGTATTAGTTTTAAGATATCTCATTATCTCGATCAGTACCACTATTGAGTAGGCATGTATTAGAGTGTATCTACTTAATTATAGAATTACAACTAATATTTTTATGTATTAGACTGTATGTGTGTGTGTGTGTGTATGTATAGTTTGTATTTTTTTTTTATTTGAAGTATTATTACTAATCACTTTCTCTACTAGCTAATGTGTGTATACATATACTAATACTAATAAGAAAATTTAAACGGGTCCGGATCCTTAACATGTCGGAATCATATGTACCATACATGACCTGTTTATCAAAACTACTAACGGGTCTGGGCTTGGGTCCTGGTAAACGGAATAAAATATAGACCCATACTCGTTAGAAATAGACGGGTCCGGATCTAGACCCGACCCATTGATAGGCCTACTCACCTTGATGGTTTAATCACTCCTCAGCATGCAATGACCTAAGTAACCCGCTACCATGACACCCAATGACCTGCTGCTCTGGTCATTAACCTTGTAACCACATAAGTAATGTAATCTATGGCGCCTAGTAATTGTTGGAACATGTGTTAGTAAATTGCATTAAATGGTCATTTTGAGGAATTTTTTGAGTGGGGTCCACTTTCGATTTGGGTCGGGTCAAAGTGGTTTTGGATTGTCCTTGCTTAGGGCTACAATTCGATATATGGTACACTCAAAACCGATAACGGGTGAATGAGAAATTGATTCTCAAAGTTCACTCGTTGGAATGGAGAAAATTAGGAAAAGATGGGTTTCTATTGTGGTTTTTTCCCACACCAGAAAACCCAAGGGATTTTGAACCCTTTATAAAGGGAAACCCCCCCTTAAGGAGTTAAGATTCCTTAGGGTAAAAGCTCTCTCCGCGCGCGCAGGGGGGTGTGAATCAAATCCCAAAACCGGAGAACAAAAAGCCCGACTTGTGTGGGCGGGCTATCTGCGGACATGAATGCCATCTGAAAATTCTATCTTCTAAAGATAAACATTAATTTCCTATTTTTTGCTCCAAGTGGGAGCAGGCTTAGCAGTTCCATGCGCAGCAGGATGCTGCCCCATGAAGGTTGAACGTCCACAACAGTCTGCTGCTGGGATGTTTCAACACATTAAATGCCCAACGTTCTTGTGATTTATTGCAATTAAACGGACGGTTTTCTGGACAAGAATCAATGCCAACATGCTGGACATTGATTGTCAACGTTCATGTCCATTAAACCTTCATTAACACAACTCCTAATCCCTCCTATAAGTTGCTGGAACACACAAACGCACAATACACTTACTTCACGTATTTCAGAGCTAAAAACACCTCTAGCATTCAAGAAAAATTCCTTTGTGTTCAACCTTTGTTCCAGTTCGCCGGAACAATTGTTTAAGTGCATAAACGGTTGCTCGTTAGTCATCGTATCCTGGGAAACGATTCTTGCAACGCTCCTAGCACCCCGGGAGGCAACGAATACATTTTAAGGAAATCGTGCGTAGCACGAGCTTTGACTAGTTTCTGTTGTAACACTTGAGATTTAATATAAACGGATTAATAGTACTACTCATACCAACAGAGGTGCATCTCCTTTTAAGGGAGCTCATCACCCAAGAACTCCAAAGTTAAGCGTGCTTGCTCGGGAGTAGTCTTGGGATGGGTGACCCCCCGGGAAGTTTCTCAGGGCGCGCATGAGTGAGGACAAAGTGCGCGGTAAAGGCTCGTGGTGGTTTGTGGGGACAGTAGTATTGGTCCGGAGTAACTACCTCGGGTCCGGTGGGGCCGGGGTGTTACAGGTGGTATCAGAGCAACCCTGCGACAGTGTGCTGACTCGTTAGATATCGGGCGGGCACTTAGCGGGGGAGGATTCTGGGATTTGATTGAGATTTGAGATTGGTTCAAGGGCGCAACGAGGACGTTGCGATCCTAAGTGGGGGGGATTGTAACACTTGAGATTTAATATAAACGAATTAATAGTACTACTCATACCAACAGAGGTGCATCTCCTTTTAAGGGAGCTCATCACCCAAGAACTCCAAAGTTAAGCGTGCTTGCTCGGGAGTAGTCTTGGGATGGGTGACCCCCTGGGAAGTTTCTCAGGGCGCGCATGAGTGAGGACAAAGTGCGCGGTAAAGGCTCGTGGTGGTTTGTGGGGACAGTACTATTGGTCCGGAGTAACTACCTCGGGTCCGGTGGGGCCGGGGTGTTACATCTGTTCCATCTCCTTTCATATTTTGTTTAAGTCATTTTATTTAATTAATTAATTTTAAATAATTTTCTTTATTTTTCGAAACACATGCAACAGTCTTAAAACGTATTTTGTTGCTAAGCTTGTATCCTGCGCATACAATCTTAAAACCGTAGTTTGTCACTTCTGTGAACGAACTTAAATCTTTTTTTGTGTATTCGGAAAAACATTAAGAAAACGAAAATGACTTCT